AAGTGCCTTGTGAAGAATGATCGAACTTCTATAAATCATTGTGTTTAATTTCTTTATCCCTATCTCTTTACATTTATTGTTGTTTATATGTTATTCTAGGTTCATTAATTGTTATTGATTGCATTATATTTTCATTAAAAGTGCTTACTGATTTAATTTTTCACTCAATTATCTTGAAATGATTGTTTTGAAAAAAGTTTAGAGAGATCCAATTCACCCTATTCTTGGATCATCATTTCACCTAAAAAGCTAACACACTTGATAATAATTATAATTAAATTGTAAATAACAAAAATTAAGTAATAATTAATAAAATTTTGTTTCACACCAGATTAGAACTTAAATAAAACTAATACGAAATAGAATTGTTAATTGATTATAATATTATTTATATAAATATTAAATCAAACTATATTTTAGAAATATATGAATAAATATTTTTATTTTTGTTAGATCTAGTAAATATTATAGATATAAATGTAAATAGAGGAATCTATTGAATTTTAATAAATTTTGTTTTTTCTTTTTACAATTGATTATATACTGTTCTAATTCCAAAAATAGCTTTTAAAAAATTATAGAGTTGAATATAATTTTAAGGTAAATAAATAATAGAATGAAAATGACCATTATTACTTAATAGGAAATATCTAATCGTTCATTTTTCTCATCTTACATGCAACATGCAAATATCCGTTATAAAATTTTGCAAGCAATGCCTCTTGATTTTTTTTTATTTGAGAAAGATAAATATTAATACCATATTTAATTAAATTAACTAAAATTATTGTCAACAACTGTACCAATAATCTATGTTATCAACAATATAAAATATAAAATATTTAGTTTTAGTGATTAAAATTTAATTCTTTATAATAATAATAATAATAATAATAATAATAATAATAGGCTATGTTGGATATTTTAAATTTGGGAACATATTACTTACAATAATTACATTACAATTAATAAATTAAGTTTTAAAATTATATAAGATCTATCAAAATATTATATATAGTTTACACTCATAAATAATATATCTTTATATCAGTTTTTAACATGATTAAATAATTATAAAATTATAATAATAGACAAAATGCTCTTATAAACTCATATTTGAAAAATGAGAAAGTTGGTTTGAGACAAAGAATAGTAGTTTTGACGGTGCTTATTTAGTGTTTGCTTAGAAGATATTTTTATATGGGAATGAGAGTCAAATTCAGAGTACTAAACATAAGTAAATAATATAATTTGCAACATTAAAGCAATTTGTATTTAGTATAAATGATATGCTCTATACAATCTAATACTAACATTGTACCATGCAAATAGTTAGGTATAAGCTAGTATATATGATAGTACTAGACTATATCTAGATGTTACAGTCCAAACAAATTCTCTAGTACTAGTATTATCTTTTATTTTATTTATTATTGGCATTGAATTCTAAGTTAGTCATATTCGCCAATAAAATTAAATAAAATAAAAAATATATAAAAAAGAAAACAACAAAAAGATAGTAATTTATAGATACTTACTAAGAATTTGGTGATGACTGGTGAACAAAATTCCAGTTAGTGGAATGGGGTTTGGTTCTTCCACTCTCAAAGGGAGACAGGTTTTAAGCCCGCAGTTTTGTTTGTAGAAGTAAAATACAATTGTGTATTAGTTTAAATATTAAAAAATGTATAATAAAAAAGTTATATTCATTTTTTTGTTTTTTACATTTCATTAGTTTAGATTATAGGTTATTAGAAAATTGAAACTATAATGCAATCATAATAGGCATAAATTATATCTAAAATGAGCCATACATCCAAAAATGGGTGCACAACCAAATCTACATATAGTATTTTCTATTGATTCAAAACATTTTTGTCACCAATAAGCCATCAACAAAAAATAAACTATCCAACAAAAAAAAAAAAATCAAGAAATCAAATAAGAAAAGAAAAGAAGAAATTGACCTGGATGGACAATTTAGAAGTTCGCTTCGACCTAAAAACACGGGGTTGAGTCAAATGTATTATTTCTTTTTTTCTAAGGTCTTCCCTTCCATAAGTAAGGCTTATGGCTTAAAGAAAAAAAAATACAAAATACAATGAAACAAAAATGTATATTTTATGCAATGAAGGATGTTTGTTAAGTAATGACAAAGAGATTGTGCATTAAACCTTTGCACTAATAGCATCAGAGCAAGAGGCTAATAGTGAACCTGTAGGATCCCATTTAACATAATTGACTTCGCCCTGAATGCACAAAGTTCAAATATGTGAATAGAAAAGCAGAGATACAATTCAATTCAAAAGTTTTGCCTATCAAAATCCAAAACCACACACTGATTTTAGTTGCTAATTAAAAACCATGGCTAGCAAGTTACAGAAGCCATAAGGCTTTGATTCATTGTTGTAAAAGTTTCCTTGTAAATTGTTTCTCAGGAAAAAAAAAAAAGAAAGTAAAGGAATATAAAAATGGATGTATATTTTTTATTCTTGACATTGTTTCCTTTACAAGAAAAGCTTGAATGAAAACTTGAAATCTTAGTGATTTACCAGTTGTAGATAACAAAATTTAGAGAAGAGGAAAGGAAACGGAATGAAGTATGAGACGACTCGGGAAAGGTATAGAGGGATGAATTTAAGGGAGACACTACAAAGTGTATAAACATACATTTCATATAACTAACAGCTATGAGATGTCCTAAAGATTCTAACAGATGAAAGAAAAAAAGAAAAAATGAGAAAAGATAATGGCTTAGTTTGAGGCCATTAATACTTCGTATGTATTACATTTGTCTCACCAATAACTTTCATTGCATCAAGGGCATAAGTGAAAAGAGAAATATAACAAAGCCAACAAAAACATTAGATAACTTGGAAATGTAAATTGTTTTCATCTAAACAAATTAAGAAAAAAGTCAAAATATTTAACGGGATAAGTAATATTATTATATTGATAAGAAACAAAACATGAAAGGGATGTCCTGTAATATTAAGATCTTCCCCCCTCCCCAAAAAAAAGTTAAAATTGATAAATTACTTAGTGGGATGTCTTAAAAGAAGTTGAATTTAGCTGGTAATAAAAATTTAGTAAAATGTAAAATCGATCTCTTGAAGTATGAAACTAAACTTTTATCAACCCTCATCTCAATATTATCTTCTCTTTTTATAAACTAGCTAATAAAAAAGAGTTCAGAGAGCAATTAAGGTATGATATATTCACAACACAGACGGTTCATCCACTGTTTTTATTACAACAAAATCTTTTGAAGAATGTCACCATGACATTTCAACTAAATATGAAACCACCCAGCAACAACAAAACAGATCATTTAAAATACATAAAACCCATGATCCATAAATTGTGAAATGATTAAACATTAACTCAACAACAACAAATCAAAATAAAAAAAAAGCATCTTTACATAAAAAATAAATGATTAATCAATTTATAGAGAATGAAAGACCTTCAAAAGCTTCACAAAGGTGCTCAACATCCTCAAAGGCCTTCGAATGGTCATCTACATACAAAAGTTAGAAACATTTTATGAAAGGTATTTTCTTGGCAAACCAAACTAATACATGAAAATGGTTGTGTAGTAGACCAATTTAACAATTTGTTCATGAAGAGGAATCACCCAAATCATAAAATGATCATAAAATCTGTGGATATTTCTGGATGTGTAAGTGTGTAGGGCTAAAGATAACAGTTTGTTTGATAATAAGATTGTTACTTTTTGTTTGTAAGAAAGTACTAATTAATAAAGCAACCTAAAACTATAATTGACAGGTTATAGAACATAACACTATATTTGATAGATAATTATAAAGTAACCTAACATTAAATTTTAGACAAGTAAAATAAAAGTAAAAATCACGCATTTTATTGTGGAAAACTGCATATTGACTTTTTTCTATACAAACTCAATTTCACTTTATACTTCAAGAATACAATTTTTTTTTAATTAAGAAATAAAGATTTTATGACGTCAATAACTTTAGCATTTTATAAAAATATATTTCTTAAATGCATGCTAAAAAATTAGACTAATTTCTTAATTAAAGTAAACCATATAAAAAACCAATAATAAGAAACTACCAAAGCAAAGCTTTTTTAAAAGAACAACTTTGAACCAACAGACTTGTAGCTTTTTCATACTTTTATGGTCATTCTATCATTTTCTTCAATAAACAAACAACTCTGAAAAGAACAAAAAAATTTTAGAAAAACTATCAAACCAAAGAAAAGCATTTTTATTCAAATTTCTTCCTTTTACAAATATAAGAGAAAAACTCAAATAACTTTTTCAGTCTTTTTCTCATTTGGGTCAAATTTAATATATATGAAAGATAGGACTAAGTTTAAAGATTAAATGAGAAAAAATTTTGAAATGTAAAGAATAACCATTGTCGTTACCGTCAATCCATCGTTCTCCCTATTTTTCGTTGCCTCTGTGTTTGGTTCTTTAGCACCGATTGCAACAAAAAGGGTTCCAGCCACTGATAACAGGAGAAGAATCACATCGGCCACGAGACGGGTCATGATTTGGTCATAAGCTTTTTGAGAAGTTTTTTGCTTTAAGTTCTAAAGAAGCTCAAAGAGAAAGCGTTTTTTATCTCAACCTAAAGAAGCCTCTCACTTGAAATTTTGAAAAAAGTTTTGAAAAAAACACTTTTTCTTGGTGTCATCCCTTCATTGTTTTTATTTGTATTGTTTAACTGTTCCCTTAATATACATTACAGACAGCTTTTATATATAATACAGATTTGAATTTATTTTGACCAAATACCTTTCACATTTCTCTTCTTTCTTTTCCTTCAATTTCAACCTCTCTCTCTCTCTCCTCTATTTGTGGCTGTTAATAATAATAATAATAATAATAATAATAATAAAAAATAAATCCGTGCCGTCACGTCACGTCCACGTAACGTTCACGTTAACTAAAGATACAGTAATAATTACTTTCAGATATACAAATTTTTTAAATGGGAAAACAGCAGGGCTGCTGATATGGGTTATAAAGTGAGAGCCAAAGGCTTAACCCTACGCCGCTGATTCTAAGGAAAAAAAATAAATGCAAAAAGTTACGTAGTTTATAATTAAATACAGTAGAATATAATCCGGAAAGGAACGCGTTTTTTTTTTTATAATTTTTAATTTTTATGCTATTTCTATGTTTTTCTTGTCGAAGGTGCCTCCCTCCTTCCTCTTAGAAAAAAAAAAAAGTCCTTGCTCTTCGGTAATCTCGCTGTTGAGAGGTAAGATTTTTCTTCTTCCTTCTTTTTTTTTTTTGGTTGGGGGTCGTTTGCAATCTTTGTGTTTTCTTTCAAGGTACATAAATGAATTAATAAAAACTGGGCCTTTTCTCTTGCCATGCGTTTTGTGTGGTTTTCATTCTTGGGTGTTTCATGAATGGTTAGTATTGTGCGTTCTTTGTGTCCTGAATCTCCTGCCTTATTTTTTTGATCGCTTGGAATGAGGGCTAACAATGATGGTTGATGGCCATTGGTTATTTGTTGTTCCATATGAAATCTAACCATCTCTTTGTTGATGACATTGGTTTGACGTACAATCTGGTTGATCGGTCTTCTCCTTCATAGCTTCATTCCTATCTGTGTTCTTTATCTGAGATTTTGTTCTGGAATCAATAATCAATACTTGTCTAAATCGTTGATGGCCTTGAATGAATGTATTGAGTGAACGAAATGGGAAGAATACAATTTGGAGTCTCATTACGTATTTAATGACAACTTTCCCCTCTAATGAGAATTGAAAGTTTCCCTTTTTTATCGATCCTTTTGAGAAGGAAGTCCAGTATGCTAAATTAGTTGGTTTTTTCTTATCCAGAAGATATTGAAATGTGAAACATTTGGCACTGCGATCTAATTATCTATTCTCTTTGTGATTATTAAAGGGTTAATGTCATAAATGACTTCTAAACTATAGTGAAATGTTTGATGTGGTACTTGAACTATGAATATGTTAATTAATGTGGTTCTTGGAGGGTTGTTTGTTTGTCATGTGTCATCATTTGAGCTAGCTACATTAGGGGTGAGTACTATTAGTTAACAGATTCATAGTTCATGTGCCACATTAATAATTTTTAAAGTTCAGGTACCACATTTAAACATTTCATTGTAGGTTAGGGGCAATTCATGACAATAAACCACTATTAAACTCTATGTTGCATTCTTTCGATGTAGAGATTAACAACATGAAGTTTTTACATTTTCTTCATGATTCTGCCTACACTATATACTTGTCGATGATGGATCCTTTATTTTTCTCTTTCATTATTGTCCAGCAGGTGTCTCTTGTGCTTGTTAGGAATTTGGTTTTCCTAGTTGGAAAAGATTCCTTTTCACTCTGGCCACTGCAACAAGACTAAACTTTTCTCGCACCTCACAGTGGGTGTGGGGGGACAATGAAGGGGTGATTCTGCTTTGTGTTTTAAGGAGATCGAGATCATCCCATATCTGGAGATTGTGGCGTGTTTCGGAGGGTCTTTCACTTGATTATGGCTAATGTCAGTGTTTGCTAAGTCCCCCTAAGTTTGATGGTAGCTTTTCATATTTTCTTTTTCATGGTAGCAGAATTAGGTGCTTTTCTCAGGATTTTGAACCTTAATAATTAGAATAGTATGGTGCTCATAGTTTTTTATGTAACAAAACGGTAGGTCTCATGTGGATGTAGTGCTAGTTTGTATCACGTAAATGGTTAGATTTTCATGCTTCAATGCTCACATTGGATGTCAGAAACCCAAGGTAAGTCTGAGATTTGCTTAAGGTTTTTTAACAACTTCAGTAAAATTCAGGTTGTATACTGTAGTGTTTCCCTGACTCAAGTATTCATTTGACCATCAGAAAACAGCTCAGCTATCCGTTGAAGCAATGCATAAGACTTTAGAAGATTTTCGTCAAGTTCTAGCCCCTAAGGATTCAAATAAAGCTACACACATGGACTCATTCTTGCCGGAGGCAGAAACAATTGTTGATATTCATTACAATGCCAAACCTGTTACAGATTCTTTGTCTGTTTACCATAACAGGAAATCAGAGGAAACAAAAGACAAAATTGATCTTGATACCTATTCCAGGGTCCTTCAGAATAGGCACTATCTGAAGAAGAGTCAATCCCTTGGAAGTAGACTGTGCCTGGAAGGAAGGGTTCCTGGACAAAATGATACTGATGGTGAGACTGATCAGGGATTTTCCTCTGATTCGCAAAACCACGGCAGCAAACACACAGTAGTGAGCCAAAATGCTTCATGCTCAGAATCTGTTCAAGTAAGCTCTTACAATGTCAATAATGAACCGGTTTTCTCTATAGGAGACCCTGAGCATTCAGAAAAGGATGGCCATGATAATTCTGATTTACCTTTATCTGGTGAGGGTGCTAATGGCTGTGGTGATTGTCTGCCCAATAATGCACATGTGATTGCAAAATCATGTTCTATGCCAAACATTGTTGCATCTGAACTCACTTCAGGAGCACATTCTACTTTTAAATATTTGACACGTCATCCAAGATCTTCTGAGGATGTACATGTCTTCGACACGAGGCGAAAGGAGATTTCAGTTTTTGAGGTTGATACAGAAGTTATGCGAGAAGAAGAAAAAGATGACGGCATATATAAAAATCAGAAAACTAACTTTGAAAGTTCTTATTACGAGAGATTTGATTCTTTTAGTTATTCTGCATCAGCAAAAGACTGGATTGTGCCAGTTTCAGATGAGGTAAACTCAGTGAAAATCCTGCAAGAAGAATTGCCAGTTCAGAATTGGAATGAATTGACTGGCAAGGATTTTAAGATTAAGCGAATTGAGGAATGGGTTAATGATATTCAACACTGCAGCCCATTGGAAGAAACAATTGAATTATTTCATTCCAGTGATCATGTGAAGGCGGAACCTGCTGTCTCAAATGGTTTGACTGCTTCAAAGGCAGATGTTAAGGTAACGCCTGGCATGGAAGCTGCAAAAAGACACATATCTTCTTTGAGTGCCTCAGCAACCACAGCTCAGCTGGCAAATCATGGTTTGGTTATTATACCATTTCTCAGTGCATTTGTCAGCTTGAAGGTGCTTAATCTTTCGGGAAATGCAATAGGTGGGTATCTTCAACTGCAACAATAATTAGTTCTTCTGTATTTATGTTCTACATGCTTTAAAGACTTTTGATTTGGAGTTTGTGGAACTGTTCTTTTGTATAAATCTGCTTCCTCATTGTCTGTATGTGTGCTTCAGCAAGGATTACAGCTGGTGCTCTTCCACCAGGACTTCACATGTTGGATCTGTCAAAGAATAATATATCCACCATTGAGGGTTTACGTGAACTTACTCGACTTCGTGTACTGGACCTGAGCTACAACCGTATATTTAGAATTGGTCACGGTATGTGACACAAACTGCAAGTGATTAGCTGTCCTATTTTCCTTGCTATTCTCTTACCTGCCAATATTTAATCCTCTAATCTACTTTCTCTCACATAATTCATTGTAGGTTTGGCTTCGTGTTCCTCTCTTAAAGAGTTGTACTTGGCTGGAAACAAGATAAGTGAGGTAGAGGGTCTTCATCGCCTCTTAAAATTGACTGTTTTGGATCTGCGTGTCAACAAAATCTCTACAACCAAATGTCTGAACCAACTTGCAGCAAATTATAATTCCTTGCAAGCCATCAGCTTGGAAGGTAACCCAGCAGAGAAAAATATTGGAGATGAACATCTGAAGAAACATTTGCTAGGCCTTCTTCCACATTTGGTTTACTTTAACAGGCAGGCTATTAAAGTCAGCACATTGAAGGATGCTGCAGAACGTTCAGTTCGACTAGGCATCAATGCCCATCAATTTGACCGTGGTCTTAGATCAGAAAACAAAGCTATAAGGAAGAGTAATTATGTCACTTCTGTACACCGGCCATCCTCTTCATCAATTCATAGTCGTAAAAGTCAAGCCACTGTTTCCCCAAGACAGTCCAGAGGCAGATATGGGCGACTGCCTCCCAGTGGAATCAAAGCAACAAGCAATAATCGAAATCATGATTTAGAACTTGGTAGCAAATTTCTGAACTTTAAATCGGAGCGTTCCATCCGAAGGACCCGAAGTGAGGGAACTCTGGCGCCTCCGTGAAGTCAGTGTGCTGATTTATGCAGTCTGGTTGTTATGCTATTCAGTTTGGAGTTATATTGCTTGTCTGTACTGCAATAAATTGTCACTCGAGATTTGGTGTGACCAGGCATTTTTGCAATTGGTTTGCAATATTTGGAATTCTTATTCTCCTTTCGTTTTTAAGTTATATTATTTTTGTGTACGAAAATGTGTGAAATTCATAATTTGCCCCTTCTCTAATCGTGAAACAGAGAGAGATTGGCCTTTCCAATGTGGTAGAAATTAGAATAAATGAAAGGGCTTTGATTTACCTTTCTATTCACTACAAGAAATGAAAGATTAGTGATACTTTTATATCTGGCTTTTTACTTATAAACGTTGTTAGCTTTTGTATTTTTATAAAATTTAAAGTATTTTTTATCAAAATATTATTAAATATTCAAATAATAACGATTTTATTTATAAACGTCACTTAAGATAAAAATTAGCAACGTTTATTGATTAAAACACTTTGAATAATCGTCTCATAAAAATGGATAAGAAATTACTAAAAGCGTTTTGACAAACAACGCCTTGAATAATCTCTTCATAAAAAAATATAGGCAATTATTGAAGATATTTTATGTAAAAAACGCCTTCAATAATTTCGCTAAAAAATTAAAAAGGAATATTGAAGGTGTTTTAGTAAAAAATGCCTTAAATAAATATTCTATCAAATTTTAAGGATTATATGATTGTTAACTATAAAGTCGTAAGTTTAATCCCTCTCTTTAGCGTTTTTTGAGTTTTTAAAAGGATTATTTATAAGAGATTATTCAAGGCATTTTTCTGGCCAAAAACAGCTTTAATAATCCATTTAAAAAATTTTGAAGAGAGAATATTAAAGACGTTTTCGACAAAAAAATGCCTTCAATAATCTATAAAAAAATTTGAAACGGATTCTTGAAAGCATTTTTTGCTGAAAGCACCTTCCATAATCCACTTAATGAAATTTTATGAAGGATTATTGAAGGCGGTTTTGGTTAAAAATACCTTCAATAATTCATACAAAAAATTTAGAATAGATTATTGAAAGCGTTTTTAGCCCAATATTTTTTTTATCTTAAGTCAAACAAGTTTTTTATTCTGAAGACCCCAAAGAATTGGGTTAGTTTGTTGTTCTTTGAAACACATCTAGAGACTTATTTGATATGGGTTAGATACTAAAAATGATGTTGAACATGGAACTGAATGTTATCCTTTTGCTAAATAAACTTGGATGAAAATATCTCAAGCACCTTTACTTAGTGGGTCCATAAAGATGTTAAAGGAATTGTTTGTACTACCTCTGAATGAGCGTATTGTAGTGTTTGCAAACTTTGATAGGTAACTAATTGGTGAAGAGGCTCAACTATTAGCTAGATTTCTAGGCATGATTGCCCATAATGGAATGAAATTTCCTATTCATTATGAAACATGGCATAAAGTCCAGTAAAAGTTAAAGCCGATGCTTTAAACTTTATTGAGGTATTAGTATAATTAATTACATATAAAAATATAATTATTTTACATTTGGTTTATTGATTCAAACTTTTTTATCATATTATTACAGTCAAAATTTGTAATTAAAATACCAACTTCATTTGTGCTTAAGTCATTAGGAAAAAAATGGAAAGATTGTAAGCATAATTCGAAAAATAAATATTTCGATCAAAATACTATTATAGAGGCCACAATGAAAAATCTACCCCATAATGTGATTAGGCGGTAATATGAACAATTAGTTAGATTTTGATTCTAAAAAAAAAAAGAGGTACTAATTTATAACTTTTAATATTAGTTTTAAATAATAAAAGTGTTTTTATGCTTTAAGTTGGTAATTTTTTTATTTCTACCATATATGCAATTATTTTTTATGATAGGAAAGAGAATAGATTGGGATTGGTAGCAGAAAGCAACAAAATATAACCACACAAGTGGAATAAAAAGTTTTGCAAGAAAGCAAAAAGAAATAGTAAGTTTATGATTTAAAACTTATTCAAATGAATGAACATTTTATGTTGTTAAAAGGTAAAAACATAAATTAACAATTATTATTCTGTTTAATAGTTTTGATAGTTTAAATACATGATATTAAACTTATCCAAAGTATTGAACTTAGTTTCCACGATTGATATGTATGAAAAAGTTATTGTTTACGTTAGGACTTTTTGTGCCGTTAATAGGTAAATACAAAATTGTTGTTATTGTTCTATTTTAACTGTTTGGATAGCTTTAATATATGATATTAAACTTATCTGAATGATTAACTTGGTTTCTACAGTAGATATGTGTGAAAAAGTTATTGTTTATGTCTATTTGGGACTATTTTTGCCTTTTAAAGGCAAAAATACAAATTATACTTTTGGATGGGTTAAATTCATGATATTAAACTTGTCCAAATAATTGAATTTAGTTTTCATGATCGATATGTATGAAAGGCCAAAATGCTTTTATTGTTTACATTTATCTAAGACTTTTGTGTTGTTAAAGGGCCAAAATATAATTTTATGGTTATATTTCTATTTTAACAATTTAGATAGATTAAATACATGATATTAAACTTATTCAAAAATTTGAACTTGATTGACAAGCTTGATATGCATGAATAAGTTATGGTTGATATATATTTAACAATAACATATGTTTTTATATAAGAGATTGAGATGAGTGATAAAATTGGACGTGCGAAACTTTTTCGCTTAACACATACAAAAAAAAGATGAATCTTACCATAATGTTGAAACACAAAAAATTGTGGTAATTTGTAACATTTATTTCAACAAAAAATAAATATTTACTATTTTTAACATATTATGAATTAATCATTAAACTTGATAGTTTTATGTGATTAATTTACAGTAAAAAGTGAAAGAGAAAATGGTTGCTAAGATTGAAGTAGCATTTGATGGTTTTGTCAACATGCAAGAATTAAAAAATTGAATTTTCACAGAAGTTGTTGGAAAAAAAGGCATGGACGGGTCCGAAGCCTTAGATTGGGTCCAACACTATCTACCTACTATGGACGTAACTCTCAACAATTTACATTCTTAGCAAATTAGTTTTCGCGAGACACTTTTATCTTGAAAGAGGAGTTGCAAACTATGCAACAATGTTTCTAGCAAATGGAAGTAGAAAGAGAACAAAAGCATGCCAAAATTGAAGAAGAATATGCTACAATAAACTAAGAGCGTGCAAAATTTTAACTATTATATGATCGATTCGATCATCTTATGAATTTTATGCAATAACAATTTTCAAGAACTAATATCGATGGTCCATCAACTCAGGTATTATATTTAGTAAATATTTATAATTTTTAATATAAAAAATAGCTTATTATTTAGTGTTAAAACTTGTATAATATTATTTAGTAGGTTCTTGAGCACATTAGTGACTAAGGTAAAAAAATTTCTTCATAAATGGAAGTCTTCCAAATTTATACAGTCATCAATTTCATACATTTTAAATTTTTTGGTTAATGTATAAAAATAATTTGAATGTTATTATACTAATTATTAAACTTTGTGTTAATTACATGCATTTTTTAACATTAATTAAGTATTTATTAATTTCAGTTTCTGAATTTAAGTTCATTTTTTATTTTTTTAACAATTTTTATTAATGAAAATAATAAATATTAAAAGAATTTTTTTAAAAAAGTAAATTTCTTAATTTCGCGGTGTTTGTGCTAAAAAATGCCACTAAATTTTATATTTAGTGACATTTGTACCATAAAACGTCACTAAAAGTAACGGCGTTCTTATAAAAAAAATCATAAAAATGTTGCTTAATTAGTAGTGTTTTTATGATACAAACATTGATAATTTAAGAGCGTTGGTCAGCGGCATCTTATGATATAAATGCCACCATATTAGCGACATTTTTTTGATACAAATATAAAAATTAACGATTTTTTCTAGATACAAATGTTGCTAAAATAATGACATTTTATAAAAAAATGTTACTATTTTCTCTACCGCATGTATAGTTGACACTCTTGATAACATTTTTTGTAAATGCATCAAATCTTTTAATAACATTTATAAATGATATTAAACATTGAAAAAATACCACTAAAGACTTAAATCCTTGTAGTGATTATTATTGTGCACTGCAACCCTATTCGCTTACTATTAGCTTATGTTTTGATTGATTTTTTTTTCTTGTTAAAAACAAAAGAAAAAATTGAAAACAAAAGATAAAAAACAGAAAATAAAAACACCAATCAGACAAAACTTCAAAAAAAAAAAAAATCAAATAACCGTCAGTTGTAGTGGGTAGAACCAGGCCCATGCCAAAAACATAAATACTAGGAATTTTTTTTTCTTGTTGTTAGCACACTAAGATTTTACACCACAACCAAAAAAGTCATTATTAGAAATTTTAATAAGAGAATGAGATTGTTTTTTATACACTAATATCGCTTCATGTCTCATTTTTTAATTTAATTTTTTTATTATACTCTAAGAGTATTTACTTTAGAATTGGATATTTATTACATTATGAAATAATTTCATAGAAATATAAGTTTAGAGCATAAATAAGCAAAATAAAAGTATTGAAAACTTAATTTGTAATCCTTTTTCTATCTTCATCTTGCGAATCCATTAAGCATTACTCATAGCTCATTTCTAGTTCCATTCGTGGTCAATGTCATGCCCTGAATCTATCTGTTCTCGGTTCTCACCCGGTTTTGATACTGCATCAGTGCAACTATCGAGGCAAATCAGTCATCAACAAGGCATGGTTAGCCATGGCTTTAGAACCGGACGGCAAGTCCCATCCGAAAGATGGTGTCACTCAATCTATAATTATCCTAAATTACTAAAAATGCCAAAAATATGTTGGTTACAAACAAATCAATAATAATAAAAAAATGCGGTTTTAATGTACGAAAAATCTGGCATTCCTACTATATCAGTAACATGCGGTGAAAAGGCACACATGCATTCAACGGTTAATTGATGAAAACATCCAATTCATCTATATAAAGGATAAAAGTTCATCACAGAAAGGAGGAAAACCAAGACCCTATTACTATCCATCTATACAAAGTATAAAATTCCATCACATCACCGCACAAGATTCTCATGCTTTTGCCACCACAAAGGTCTGCACATTTTGATTTGCCTTTCACCATTCGGTGCAATATTAGCACAGGGGCATATCAGTTCTCAATCATCCCTATCCAGTAAATCAAAATAAATGTTGACACTTTATTTGCAAAGGAGTTAACTACAAAAGATTATATATAGGGGTAAAGCCATCTTTTACTTTTGGCCTAATGGATAAGAAACTTTAAAAAAGACATGTGAGTAAAGATTCTAATCCCGTTATCTCCCTTTTTTCTTTGTACAGGCGTTTGCCCTTCTGTGAACTAAATATATATATATATATGTATATATATCTAGGGGCAAAGCCAAGCTATATATTCGAAATTGCAAATAATGCATTAAAAACCACATGACCGATACAAGCTTTACAATAAGACCCATGAGTGAGTTCTCTGTTCCAATGAAATAGCAATAGAAAAGGGAGAAGGGAAAGAAATCAGAAATGGGTCTCAAACAGATGAAAGCTCTGAGTGATATTAAATTACCTGAATCAGTTGGCAGTTATCATTGCTCCAAGTCATATTAAGCATCTGCTAACAAGAAAAATGAACCAATGAGAGATTCAATTTTAATAGTAATGCTTTATTTTTTAACTTTAAGATTAAAGCTCTCATAGATTAGAAAACACGTCATAGTATAGGCCTTACATATTTTTGCACCTCTAGAAACATATGTAACACCAAAACATCATGTGCATCCACCGCAGCACAGACAATAGCGGCCGTTATTATGAGATAAAATACGACTTATTCTGAATTTTATCTACATAGCTCAAATAAATATACTTTGGATTAGACCAGAAGCATGAAGAGAGCACAAATTCAACCTTAAATTCACTTCAAGCCACAAAGATCAGCTCCAAGTTGCGAGATAGACAAACATTTCACATCTCCAAGTCCGTAGGTCATTTCAAAAAGCCACAAGCTATCAGGTTTATTCTCAAGGTTTATATTAATGCTTTCATGGCTGCTGCTATGCAGCAGGCTCATAGCCTCAATGGTTTAATAACCTTTAGTATTTCCATTATCTTTTACCAGCCAATACCCAAGCTAAGCAACTAAGCAAAACCTTAAATTGTGCCGCTAATTCTAACTTATCATAACTACATACATCCCTCATTTTTAACAAGCATTTCATCATGTACATAAAGCCAAAAACTCCACAAATTAGTGTAGAAAGTTATATAAAACCTAATTAAATCAGTTAATTAGCATCAAACAAAAACAAAATCAACTACAAATTCGAAAACCCATGCCTCTGTGCTCCTCCTCCGCATCATGATACTCAAGTTCCTCTTCCGGTACCGGCTGCAGCTCCACATCTTCTCCTACAATCTTCTTCTTCTTCACCCTCTCGGCTCCGCCTATTCCGCTCTCATCCTCATCCGGGTAGCGGACCACCACCACTGGACAAATGCAGTGGTGGACGCAATAATCACTAAAGCTTCCTAGCCTTCCTTTACTGGTCCTCCTAGAGGCTCCAAACCCTCTGCTTCCCATGATCACCGCACTCAGCCCTAACCTCTCCACTTCCAAACACAATCTCTCTTTCATGTCATGGTCTTTAACTATGTGGATTTTAAACGAGATCTCAGCATCCACTAACGGTTGCGCCAGCATGTTCGCTTTCGTTGTGGTGAAAATGTCGAACTCGTTTTCGAGTTTCTGTTGCGACTCTTCGTCGGAGTGGTCGGTGGTGATGGTAGTGGCATTTTCGTGATTATTTGTGGAGTTAGGGATGATTTGCAGTTGGATAGAGCCCCAGTCGGCTCCATAAAGGACCGAGGTTGGACGAACATGGAGGAGAATGACGATGTCTCCAGGTCGAAGGTAGTTCTGAACAGCCCATCGAACGGCGTAAGCGCTCTCGTCGCTTAAGTCAACGGCGATGGCGATGCGACGCTGGGCACCAGTGGTTGGGGTGGCGCTTGTGGTCAATGGGACACGTGGCGACGTAGGTTGGATTCGAAGAGAAGCCAAGGATGGATCCAGAAGGTCCGGTTCCGATTGTTGTTGTTGTGGATTCATCAGAAGATAGAGTTTGGGAAACTGAAAGATTGATTGACCTTCGGCAAGGAATAATCAGAGAAATAGCGATGAGCTCCAAATAACTGCGGACAGGGGCTCCCAAATTTCGCCACTTGTGAACATTGATATTGATACGCCAACCTTTTTTTTTTTTGGTTGGGCAGTCAACCTTTGTCTTTGCTAAAGCATACGAAGAAAGAAACTAGTCGGGGGAGAAAAAAAAAGTGTTTTTTAGGTGAAAATCACAAGGAAATAATGCAGACGACCAACTGATTATCTCTTTCATGACATCTCCTGTGGGACATTACGGATATGGGCAGCCACCAAACTCTTAAAAAAAGCATGTACACGACAAGTTATCAATCACCGTCCGTCTAACCTCGAACTTGTGGCATGTAGAAAGCGTTATTTTAATATTGATATTTTGAATTAAAAAAATTATGGTAAAAAATGTAATTAAAAATTTTAAATGTTTAGTTTTTCTATGAAAAAAATTGTAAATAATTAAAATGTTTAAGAACATGTATAAAATAATAAAATTTTAGAAATATAAAGATAATAAAGTGATTTTTTTTTCTGAAACATTTTTTCATTTTAAAAATATCTCTTGAGAAATTTTTAGTTTAGGATGAAAAATAAAACTTTTAAATTGAAAAGCTAAAATTTTTATTATTTAAGATGAAAACAGTTTTTGAAAGAAAAATTATTTTTAACAGCAATGCTAAACAATACCTAATTAATAAAGGATTGCTTTTATTGCACCCAAACTTTTAATTAACACACTCCGTTATTAATAACACCTCAAATAATTCTAATCCCTAAAACTTATTACTACTCTTTATACCCCACACCTATAACATTTCAATTCCTTCACTATCCTTATCCTTTAGCTACTTAAGAACCCTAAAACCATGTTCTTTCCTTCTCATTTCATTGATTCTCAACTTGAAATTGTCAACATTCGATTGATTCTCAGCTTGAAATTATCAACTTTTCGGACAAGATAAGCAATTTCTACTCATCTATTTCAATATAGAGGTAATTTCTGATATATGAATGATTTTTCTTGGTTTTATGATTTGTAATATGCATTTTTTGTGATAAAATCATGAGCTAGGGAAATATTTGCTATATGACTTTACAAATTTCTAAATTTGTATATTTGGAAACTTTTAATAGCTTCCAAATATGTAAATCTATAAACTTTTAAAAATTTTAAAATATGTAAGCGTTAGCTTTTTAGGTGAGATGGTGATCCAAGAGGAGATGAATTAGATTTTTCTAAATTATTTTCAAACAATTATTTCAAGAAAATTAAATGAGCAATTAAATCAATAAGCACTTTTGATGAAAATATAATACAATCAATAACAATTAAAGAACCTAGAATCAAATATAAACAATAATAAATGTAAGGAGATAAGGATAGAAAAATTAAAAATAATGATTTATAAAGGTTTAGTCCTTCTTCATAAGGCACCTACATATTCTCTTTTTGATTTTTCACACCAAAGTTTTAATCCACTAATTGAAGAAAAACTCTTACAAGATACAAATCTATTTTTTATTAAATCTTATCTTTTTCTTAAGGCTTAGATAGCAACCTAAACTTTTACAATATCAAAAAGATACATCACCTCTTGCTTAAAAGATACCTAAATGATTTTTACAAACTAAAATACCTCTCAAGGCTAAGTATTTGCCTAATAAAGTATAAAAAAATTTGATGAATGAACAACACAATATAGCTTGGATACAAGAAATACAAAAATATAGGGATTTTAAGCTCTAACAACTCTTGATTCTTTGAGAAAATAAAAATATAACTTGTTGATTTTTGTTATCTTGATTTATCAACCTACTTAGTGTTTGGAAAGCCCAATTTATAAAAAAATTGAAGAACTAGTCATTGGGGATCGTTTGGAGTTGAAAAAAAATTGTTAAAGCTTGAAAAACTAATCGTTAGAGCTTTTCTGGGCATAAGAGATTGATTACTTATGATAAGGGATCGATCTTGTGCTTTATTCGATCGATCCCTTCTTGTAAGGGACCAATCTCTTTTGTTGTTTTTCACATCTATTTTGTTTTTGTAAGAAAAATCAATTAATCCATTATAAGAGGGGATCGATTGGTTTAGCCAGGGGATCGATCTTGTAACCCAGGGGATGATCCGATTAAGTTAGGCAGTTGTATCTTATTTTCTAATTTGACCATATCTTAAGTTATACAATTCCAAATCAAAAACCGTTTGAAGATTTAGAAGCTAGACTTAAAGGGCTTTCTATCCATATAAAATTTATCACCTAATTTATTATATACGAATTATAGTGAATTTTTAAATTTACCCCTTATGTAGTTTCTAAACAACTACAAAGTATCTAGTAAAAATTCAAACTCTTTTCTTAGAAAATTTTGATTTTGATTTTGTTTGATCCATTAGAAAATAGACCCAAACCATATAAAATTCAAATATTAAAACTTTGTGAATTAATACAGAAAAATGAAACAAGTTTAATGTTAAAAAACTTTGTTTTTGTAAAACAAACTTTCTTAAGTTAATCTATTTCTTAAAGCCAATATTATCAAAATTGTATTGAGTCTAAAATGAATAAGTTCACTTTAAAAATAACAATTGAACTTTCATTTAAGCTCAAATAAATAATGTTTAAAGATAGTTTTGATTTAAGAAATAAGAAAACATAAAGAAATGTTTGTTTAAACTTTGAAAATTATATTATTTATTTAGTACAAAAAATAATAAAACTTAAGAACATGTACTAAATAAATTGTTTTCAAAATATTTATCAAGCTTATTTAGCTTAATGTTTTGTCATTTCAAAATAAGGATAATTCAAGGTCAACAATCTCCCCCTTTTTGATATGACAAAACTTAAAGATAAATTTGTTTGATGAAAAACTATCTTTAAGACATTTAAGATTTTTGAAATATATTTTGAAAAACTCCCTTTTAACTTTGCATGGCAAAACTCCCCCTTAATTAATGCATCCTAATCCAACACAACTTAACAAACATGTATGTTAATCAAATATATCAAATAAACACAATCAAACAAAAGCATAAGCAAATTTGCTCATATGATATTTCTCCCTATTTTTGTCATAGCAAAAAGACATGAGCAAATAAACACAAAAAGAAGGTATTAGCAAATATATTCATAAAACTTTTCTCCCTTTTTTTTGTTTAAACGCTTTATACCAAATGTTATACCTTCTATATCAATTGCTATAAGTATATAAGAAGAAATATCTCAAACTCACCCACTTTTTGTCATTTCAAAAGAAAAAGAGATCAATTTAAGGCATGGGACAAAATGCATGATACCAGTAACATCAAGATTATTTTGAATGCATGAAATCAAGTGTAATATGTACAATGAAGTTAAAACACATGTATTTAAGCATAAGAGTATAAAAGTATAAATGTATCCACTTTTAGCATTTTAGCACAAAATAATTCATATCATGATTTTTATGAGTAAAGAGATAAAAAAATATTATGCATACTACTCATACATCATATTTTCATAAAATATGTTTAGAATTTAAAACATCATTAGCATGTAAATATACATTCAAGCACATACAAACAATCTCATAGCAAATGTTAAGGATACCAATTGTTAAAGATATGTTATCAAGAAGTATACCAATTATTATCAGAAAATAACTCATTTTAATCCAAGCAAAATTACAAAGTTTTTTCTTCCTTTGAACAAAAGAAGAAGTGAAACAATTTAAGGCACATAATTTTGCATGAAAGGTATAAGCAATAAGGAGAGGCATACTAAACAAGCATTAATAAAAGTTTAAAAATTCATTAGCAATTGTGTCCAATTTTCAAAGATCACAAATGTTTCATGCATATGAAAGATTCAATCAATAAATCTAAAAATAATAAGCATATCTTTCATAAGCATAACCTATCCAACCAAGAACCATAAACTCATATGTAATTATTAAGACATGAGCACTAATGAGCAATAAGGTTCAATCATCATGTCATAGCAAAGATTATATAAGAATGATTTTCTAAACATGTTATATAAGCATGATTTTTCAAATATGATGAGCATATAAGCTATAGCAAAGAAATAATAAAAGTATAATTATTCAAATATATTTCAAATTATTTCAATGCAAATCAATATTCTTAATGCAAACATAGACAAGTACATAAATACAATTCAAACATATTTTTCAATCAAAATCATACAAGCATATGCAAAAATATTTCAAATCACACATAGCAATATACTAATAAAGATACAAACATTTAGACATAATGTGGTACATACTATCTCAATGATCTCAATCAATGAACATGATTAAAGAAATCAATCTATTTAACTCATATCCATGTCCAAAGATTCAAACGAATATTGATGCAATAAAAACTATTAATCAAAACAATCAAGAACTAGGCATAAATATTAATCAATCCAAGCATTTAACAAAGTTAAGATAAATTCTATCAAGTAGCTTAGTGATTAATGTGTGCAAAGTATTCACAAATTCAAACATAATATCCCATTTTTGCATATATCAAAGCAAGCATTTATCAAATCATGCATTAAACATTATAAATCATAGGCACATAACATAGATTCAATACAATTACCTCCATCTTTATCAAGCTATGTTGTTGTGCTCATTATAGTTGAGTGAGGCTTTAAATCCTCTATTCCACATCATTTTAGTTAGTCTTTGATGTACTTGGGCTTGATTGATGAAGATAACTTGCTTTGCTTATTCTACGTAAAATCCAAAAAATGTAAGTTCATTCATGTTTATTTTAAGTTCTCTTAGCATGGACTTATAAAATTTTTTTGACAAAGAATTTTCATTAGAAGCATCAAAAAAATTAATTGATAAAAATTATACTAATTGTTAGAAAATGAATTCCATATTCTAAGTCATTACAGACAAAAGAAAATTTGTTTACTAAGCTCAATTTTCCCATTAGAAAAGGAGATATATGTTTATATAAATATATATATATATATATATATATAAACTTAAGCTAAAGGCTATGTATCAAGTTAAGCATCAAATATCACAATATTGGCATTAACACTAAAGTTCTCATGTAATGTGCAAAAATCAAACCTTTTAGATCATTCATGAACACAAAATAGACATATTCAAAATTCTTATGTATTCAATAAATCACCAAGGAATTTATCAAAACCAATTTGAAGCCCTATAGAATTAAAAAAAAAAAACTCAAGAAAGACATATTTATCATAAAAAATATAATAAAAAAAATTTCATCACAAAAGTATAAATATGTTTACATAAATTATAGGCCATAATCAACAATGACTTAAGACAAACA